AAAAAAAAAAAAAAAGGTGAATGAATTGAAAAGATTAAGTATATATATAATAATGTTAAAACTAATATAAATAGTATTTTTAGAAAAGCATAAATCAAAAAAAAAAAAAAGATCACGGAGTAGAAATAGATCACGCACACCAAAACGACATAAAAAGTCTAGTCGGTCATGTTCAAATAGTAGTAAGGATAGGTAAGTGTTCTTTTTTTATGAGAAATTATTCCATATTATATAGTTTTGATAAACTTAATTCACATTCAATTTTCTCTTAGGAAATTTAACTGCATTTAATGTTTATTAAAGATATTTCTATTAAAATTAAATTTTTAAATATTTGTATTCATCATTGGTTTAGGTATTCAAGACATGATTTAAAAAATCATCAAACTAATTCAAAGAACCAAAGTGACTCTAACACCAAGTATAGGAACAATGATAGTGATATTAAATCAAAAGAAAARAGCAAAAGTCGTAAAAGATCTATTACACCAGATAAGCATTCAAAATTAATTAGATGTTCAAGATCAAGAGATAGTAAAAAGTCAAAGAGATCAGAAGATTATAATAGAACAAGAAAAGAACCAATATCTAGAGAAATTTCTAGGTCTAGACATAGATCTCCTTCATGGTATTTTAACTAATTTAAATTATTTTTTATTTTTTAAATAATTACAAGCTTTTATTTTCAGTGAAAAAATAGATAAAAAAAAACTATTTAAAATTGCTCGTAAAAATGCCTTATCTCTAGTGCAACAAGGTGTATTACCAGTGGGAAGTGTAAAAAAAGAAAATGTAGCCAATGTACCCACCAAAACTGTAGATGAACTAACAGGTAATGCACATTCAAAGTATTTCCTTTTCACAAATATATTTTATTTTTCAATTTCATTTATTCAATGTGTGAAACTTAATTGACAATAAAAATATGCGCTAAATTAACATGATATGAGTTACATGAAAAAAAAAGAATTAACCCAGCAGTTATACTTTACATTTGATTATTTTTTTTTTTGGACTTTATTTAGGATCAAGTGTTAAAGTTARCTCCATCTTCTCTTAAATCTCCTTTGGGGATTTCCAGGTATTTTGTTTGAACAAGTGCTGAGATTTATGGATAAGGTTGATTTACTAATTGTGAACGATAATGTTTATATATGATTGAGGATATTTCTCAGACAGTTTTGATTTGTACATCTGTGTGTATTATGTAGTTGGATACATGGAAATATGTCATACTTATTATGTGCAAGGTGATTGATTGGAATCTTTGTGTCCAGTTTAAATTTGACAATTAGGGTAGTTGATTTGTCGGTTGTGTACAATTTATATTGGAAGGAAGAGGAAATATTACTTTGTGGAACACCAGCTAGAATAGAGACAATTGTTAACATCTCAATGCCTACTTTTTTTACAAAGAATCGATTATTGATGTAGGGTTGGAACAAGAGAAAATAAGGAAAAGGAAGAACTTTTTTTCAAATTTATAAAGAAGGTAGCCCTAATCAAATTTTTAGGCAATATTAAGTGAGACTTCGGGAAATATTTATTTTTTTTGGCTTAACCCCCCCTCCCCCTATTGAAAATTATTGAACATTTTCTAAAACCTCTACTTCTTTTAATAAAATGGTTTAACCCTCCCCCTCCTRAAATTCTGTCAAAGCCTATGGGAAGATTATAATATTCTTTAAATTGTTAATAATTATAAGTAAAATTTTAAATTATGAAATATGAAAGTAACATAATAAATATTATATATGTTTCATACAGTTTGTTTGTTTAAGATTTTTGTCGTAAACTTTCAAAAAAGGATAAAGATCATGAAGATTCTTCTTATTCTTCTGATGATGACGAGTTCAAACAACCTTTTCACCATCCATTTTTGGTCAAGGAAAGACCTAATATAGTCATGAATATTAGAGTAAATAAACCTCAATTCAATTATATTTAAGTTTTTTCATTAAAATTCCATCATATCTTTAAACATTTAATTATAACCCATATTTTTAGAATGCAACTCAATTACCTACTAAATCCTTTCAAGAAAAAACTATTGGACAAGATATATTGAGACAACAGTTTCCTGTATCCAGTGGTCAAACTCATAGTTTAGCTCTTACTGAATGGATGCCCATAGGTMCTGAGGAATCTGCAAAATTAAATAAAATACTTAAACCTGATGAAGGAAACAAACTTCCTAACAAATCACATCATAATCATCATGCTCCAAAAGTTGCTGCCGTAAGATTCTATATAATTATTATAATTATTGTATGGTAAAATGTAAAATAATTGTCTCACTTAGGTGGAACCTGTTATTCAGCCTGTTTCTAGTCCAAACAATGCTATAGTACCTATGGATTATCAGTATGTGTCACCTGCTGTTGAAACTCCAGCAATCACACCTTATGTAAATAAAAATACTAAAATTACTTTACCAAGTGGCTGAATAGTCATTAAGCTAAAGGTATTAATTTTTGATGTTCTAGGCACATGGCAGCTATTCATTGTTGTCGTTTGAAACTGGACAATTCACTGGTCATACTGGTGCTAAAGTACTAACCCCTGCAGAACTATCTGCTGGATTTCAAACCTGGGTGAAAAAGGTAAAATGTATAGGAATATTATACTTTGATTTTTATTTATTTTTTTTTAATATACAGTGGGTATAACATATTTTTGCACTATATATTTCTTTTCTACAAATTCGATGTTGACAATTTTCATTGGGCTTTCAACCACTTAGAACTACTACTTTAACTCTTAAAGTAGTATAAAACTAGAATGGTTATCAAAAAAAAAAAACTTTTGTGTTCAGTTTAAAAAATGACATTACATTTTGATATTATTGGATACACTCTGTTATGTTGTTTATCGAGTATCTACTCAATTCAGGCAAAATAAATTTAATAACATGTTTAGTTATTTAATTTGTAAGAAATAGTCTTGATGTAATATTTCAATTGTACAATTTAATCATTCTAAATGAAAGTTTTATACATTTTATATCAAGACATTTTCTTTTGAACCGTATGTTTGTTTAGCAATTGCTACATTGCTAAATAAACATGCATATTAAGTGCATGAAAGCCAAATGGAAATCTGTTACAGGCAGTATTACTTGTGTTTAACATATTTAAGCGCTATATCAACAACACCACAATCGAACGATGGTTCGTCTGCTGAACATTCACGGGATATCTGATGCAGCCCCTTGGTAATTTTAATAGATACTTGAATGTATGCACTTTAACAGTGGGTACATTTACAGTATTTAGTTAATTTTATTTTAAAATGGAAACAAAGATTTGAAAATACTTAACATGTATTTTTGTAAGTATTAAAATTAATAAATGAAAATACATCATTATATGGATTTTAATGATCATCCAGTTCTACACAGATATGTTTTACCGAAAACAATGCGGCTGTAAAAAAATTATCAC